ATTCCCCGCCTCAATAGGTTACTAGCTGTAGGCAGAGTTTTGATAGCTGCACGCCAAATCAACCATTGTATATGAGCTGGAATCTTTACCTGCCAAAATTTCCTCCAACCCTCAATGCTGAAGTTTGCTGCCATGGCTGAAGCTGAAGAAGCTGGTGTACTTGTTGCTTGTTCTTTATGTTTGTCCTGGAGGAGTCTATAATACCCACTTTTAATGTTATAGACACCATTCTTCGTGTGCTTCCAGACTAGTTGATCCTCAGCATCTTGTGTCTGTGTGGGAAGATAAATAGATAGAATATGCTTTACCACTTGAGGAGGAAACAATGCTTGTAGCAAATGCACTTTCCACATGCCAAAACTATAAATCAAATCCTTCACTTTTAAGTTTCTGCAGTCACTGATCACACCAGTAACTTGTAGCGGATTTGCGCATCTTGGAATCCAATCTTCCTCAATCCTGACCTTGGCTCCGTTTACTATCCTCCATTTGAAGTTATGTTGAAGCAATTCACAGCCCCATAAGATGCCTTACCATCCCCAAGATGAATTTTTATAGTTGCTGCAAAATAAAAATTCTACCCCACGACAGTATTTTTTGGTTAGCACAGTTGCAAAGAGCGATTTCTCATTTCTTAATATTCTCCAAGCCAATTTAGCAAGTAGGGCTTGGTTCATCTCCTTAGTTGTCCTGAGACCCACCCTCCTTTGAATTTCGATTGACACATAAACTCCCAAGATTTCTAATGCATCCCTTTACCTTCTTGATCCCCTTGCCAGATAAAATTAGAGATAATTCTATCTATTTCTCGAGTAACCCAAAACGGGAGTTTAAAAACGCCCATCATGTATATAGGCAAAGCTGATAATGTGTGTTTTGCCAGAACCAATCTTCCAGTCATGGATAAAGACTTCATTTTCCAAGTGCTGAACTTTCCTTTCAACTTCGTTAGAATGCTCCCAAAAAGTTCACTTTTCTTCTTCATAAAGTCCAATGAGAGGCCCAAATACTTACCCATATACGAGCCAACAGGAATGCGAAGCCATGAACTAACCAACTCCTTCATATTTGGAGGCATATTTGGACTGACCATCAGATTTGATTTATCGAAATTGATGTGTTGTCTAGACTCTCGAGCATAGGCATCCAGGATTATTGCCAATATCCTAACATTAGTGAGGGTACATTCAAAAAAAACTAAACAGTCGTCTGCATACATCAACTGCGACACTCTGGGCACACATCTACCGATACTAATCCCAATTCCCTCCCCATTCACCATGATATTATCTATGGCTGAAGAAAGAGTTTGTTGGCACAAAATAAACAGATATGGGGAGAGAGGACAACCTTGTCTTAGACCCCTAATAGGACGAAAATTTTCTGAACACCAGCCATTAAAAGTTAATGCAAAACTTACAGTGGTTACACACTTCATGACAACTCCGGTGAACTCCTCTGGAACCTGCATACGTGTCATTATTTCCTCCAAAAATTGCCAAGATAGACGATCATACGCCTTGCTCATATGAAGCTTAACAGCGGCTAAATTTAATCCTGATTTTTGCTTCCTGATATACTCAGTGATCTCACGAGCAAGTAGCACATTCTCCCCAATATAGCGACCAGGGACAAAACCATTATGAGTCTCTGCAGTAACATCATTCAGAACTTTTTTAAGCCTATTTGCCAAAACCTTTGCTACAACCTTGTACTTGACATTACAGAGGCTAATTGGCCAAAAGTCACTTGGCCTTACTGGATTTTTAGGAATGAGAATTACCTTTGTCTGATTCCATTCCGGAAACCAATCACGCCCATTCAAGCATTCCAAAACATTTGCTATGCCGCGTCACCCTAATAGTACAATATTTATAGATTTCTTTTTCCAAAAAAAATAAAATTAAAAAGTTTAAAAGAAGACTCATTCTTTGACATGGGGATCATCTCGATCGATCAAACCCTTTAATTTGCTGCAACTCTCGGAGGGAAGAATTATAAACTGCATAAAGAATCAAGAGTGTATACATCAATTGTGCATAAAGCATCCTACCAAGTCAGACTAAACTACACAACCAATCGACTACTTAGGTACGTTGAATATACCTTTGCTTTAAAACATGAACTTGCTTCCATTTCCTACAATATGCATATATAGATCGTAATGAAATTTTGTACTTGACGAGTCATAAATTAACCCTAGGCCTATTGGGCCTAGGATTAGATTACTTGGAGATTAAGTCACCGTCTGAACCTATTCTGCTAGGGTTTCAGGAAATAGGTAACACCACCTCTATATAACGAGGTGGTGCATCTCTCATAATTCATATCTTCTACCTATCTTCTACACCTTCTACACACGACACACATCCCTCTCTGTCTATTATCTTTATTCGTTTATTGACTAAAGTATCGGAGAGTCTACCCTCGGGAGACATCCGAGGCTCTGTCTTGCAGGTTCTAGGCCGTCCGCCGCCGCCTAGGTCATTATCGCCGCCCGTTCTAAGCACCGTACAAATCCATGCTTCGTCAAGTGGCACGCCCGGTGGGACTGATTTGTTTGGTCCTTACAACCAAATAAATTTCTTAGCGAAGCACGGAATCTTTTGTATCTTTCGCAGCCACGGTATTAATTTGTTGCTCCGATTTTGCAACTAGAAGATCACGCAAAAAATTATCTTTGTTTGGCCAAGAAGACATCAGCCGACAAGTAGCACAAAGAAGTTTTCGATTTCACAGATAATCGAGGAGCTGCACTCGCTCCACAGCTGATCGAGAAGAACAATTAGCTAGGGGCAACCTCGAAGATTGAAGTTTCGAGAGATACATCTCCTCGAAGGGGCAAGCATCCCTCGAGCACCATATTACTACACGAAGTGTTCAAGAATATACATCTCATCGAAGGGACAAGCATCCCTCGAGCACCTTACTACTACTCGAAGTGTTCGAGAAGACGTATCTTGATTTTTAGCTACTCAACTACTACCTTCTCGGAATCGAGGTAACACTTTCTCAAATAATCAATTTATTACGTGATCGAGGTTCTTCTAAAACCTTTTCATGCTTTAATATCTGATATCATTATCATATTACTATCATATCACGATATCTTTTTGAGCACGATCAAAGGAATCTTTCGAGAAACTGGCCCTTTAGGGAAAAATCCCATCACCCTGCAATGAGGAAAATCATCTCGGGGTTGCCTTCAATGAGGAAAACGTACTCGGGACACAAACTGGAAAAAACCCTAGGGGCAAGGAACTTGAGAGATCATCCTAACATCCTCTGCTTGAACGGATATTCCTTAGGAGCATCTTATTATATGTCATTATTATTTTGTATTGCATCTCAATGATCTACACACTCACGGTCCACCGCACAACCAAGGAACTCTCTAATACAAAGACCTCCTCGAGGCATTGTATCTCTCTTTATCTTATGTAGGTGACACCCGAGAATGAAAGAATTCAAGAACTGAGGCAACACTACGAAACTTGAGGAAACATCAACACTCGTAGCAACCCATATGCCTCTCATCAAGTCTCGAGAATATGACTTGTTATAGGCACTTGACGAGTCATAAATTAACCCTAGGCCTATTGGGTCTAGGATTCGATTACTTAGAGATTAAGCCACCGCCGAAACCTATTCCGCTAGGGTTTCAGGAAACAGGTAACACCACCTCTATATAAAGAGGTGGTGCCTCTCTCATAATTCATATATTTTACCTATCTTCTACACCTTCTACACACGACACACATCCCTCTCTCTCTATTATCTTTATTCCTTTATTGACTTAAGTATCAGAGAGTCTACCCTCGGGAGACACCCAAGGTTCTGTCTTGCAGGTTTTAGGCCGTCTGCCGCCACCTAGGTCATCATCGCCACCCGTCCTAAGCACCGTACAAATCCATGCTTCGTCAGTACTATTTTTATTTTTAGATCTATCGAACATTCAAACTACAGTTAATGAATTCCGGTAAATGAATCTTATGCAAAAAAATATAGATCTGATGACTAATCATCAGTTACCAATTTAAGCTTTAACCTTGGTTTAATGTGACAATGTATGAATCCTTCGAAGCCTCATTAGATTATGTCACTATCATCAACGTGCATCATTTTTGAGTATGTATATTTGTTAAGTGAAGCATTTCAACCATTTCATAGATTCCTATATTCACATGCATAGTTAAGGTAACTAAAAATATATATAATAGATTATTGTAGAGACAGAACATGGCTCATCTTGTAGAATTCCTATACAGAATAATAGAGGATTTCAATTTTATCAAAGGGCTGGTAATGATTTTATTTTGTAACATTTATAGGGTACTTTTTGGAGTATTGATAATGTACATTTTAATTAGTACATTGCAAACCTAATCCTACACTATTGCAACAGTCAATTTCCAGCAAACTTCATAAGTTATTTAACAGAAATCCGATGCCATATATGGTACTTCACACCCCAATTGGTCAATTCAGAATTCAGACAAAACTGAGCAGGAAAGGAAGACTACATATGTATGGATGGTCCGTGCTGGAGTACATGCAGAAAATGTATATCAAACTTGGAAGTCTTATTCACCTAGTAATTGTTGGTAACTATGAGATGAGGGCTGTAAACTTCCAACCATCAGGATTGCAGTATGGTATTCGTCACAGCAACCTGACAACACCTAGGGCTCATACTTCTTGCATTGGACAACAATTCATACAAGATCGCGGTATGTTAAACATATACTTGTACCAAAATTATCAATTTCCATTGTTTAGTTTTGGTTTGGTTGAACAGTATCATCAGAAGTGTCATAAATCATACATCCATATACATACTTGGTGAATTCCCTATCCTGTGTGTGCTTTCATTTTTCTAACATGAATATAACTGCTCTAGATGTTGAATCTGCTGCATTTTACATATGAATCGTGTCTTATTTAACATCAATTGTAACACAACATATTGATATTTTATACATATATGGATATTATCTCAGGCTGTGTATGAGAGCTACTGGAACCTGTTGGGATTCACAAACAAATCAATTGCTTTTGTTAGAGACGGACACGACCTTATGCTAATGCAACTTGCGACAATGAACAATCAAGTTATTGGATTCACTGGAAAATCTTGGGAATCATTCTACCTGAAGTACCGGATGAGGCCTGGACATCACATTGTCTTGCACTACGATGGCACCCTGTTTCTCACAACTGTTTTTGACAGGAATGGGTATATCCTTACATCAACAGGAAGGGAAACATCTGAAACTGAGAGTAAGTTTTATTAACCTATTTCTACATACATTAGATGTAATAAATACTAGGGCTGGCAATCTGTGTCGGGTCCGGGTTGGCTTGTCGGGCCAGACCCGAACCCGAATAATATTCAGCTGACCCAGACCTGACCTGTATAAATAAACAGGTCGAGTTTTAGAACCCTAACCCAACCTGTATAAATAAACAGGTTGAGTTTTAGAACCCTAACCCAACCTGAAAATATTTAGGTCACCCGTGACTCGACCTGTTAATCCGAAATTTAAAAAAAAAAAATCTAAAATCAAGAAAAAGTAAAATTGCAGTTCCAAAAAAATCTGAAAATTCCAGTTTCAAATCACACAAATTACAACCACCTTGATCCAAAGTCCAAACAAGTAAAGAACCAGTATTCAAATTACAAAATTAAATCCAAATTACAACCTTCTGCTATATAGAAAAACACGGGGACCAATCCTAAAATTTCTGGAAAACTAAAATCATCTTCTTCTTCACTGCGTTTCCGCTGCAACTCGCCGCCTGAACGCTGCCAACCACAATGACTGTAAAAACAATAATTAGAGCACTGAAAGTCGGAGCTTTTTGACATCCTTTTACCCTCTAACTCACAGATCAGATGCCCCATCTATCAGATCTTTCAGGTAAGGTTTCAATTGAAGGGAAAATTAAAAGAAAACAAAAAAAAAAGAAAAAGAAACCAAAAAAAGGAGAGAGGAGAATAGGCGGCCGAGCGAGAGTGAGAGGAAGAGAGGAAAGAAAAAGAAAAAGAACAAAAAAAAAGAGTGAGGAGAAGAGCTAAAGAGGTGGCCGAGGGAGAGGAAGAGGGGTATATATATGGGGTGAAATTAGGGTTACATTGTTACAAAATTACTAAATTACCCTACAAAATACATAAATTACATATATACGGGTCACTCGGGTAATCCGTTGAGTTGACCATAACCCGACCCGTATAATAAACGGGTCCAAATTCCCAACCCTAACTCAACTTGTTTATTATATGGTCGTGTTCATGTCAGGTTATTTTGTGTCGCGTTCGTGTCAAAATTTCGAGTCGTGTCGGAGATTGCCAGCCCTATTAAATACTGCAGTATCCGCAAATAATTTGCATTTTTGTAATTTCATCAAAATGATGTGAATACCGTAGTTGATGATCTGGATCCATTCAACAACTTTCCGTCAATTGAGAATGATTCCTTTTCCTATTTCATCGACGATAATGTCATCAGCAACAAAAGGCTTGTAAGTCAATCAACTCTATCATTCCATATTTAATACGAAAACATGTTTCATCCTAATGAATGGAATTCTACACTTACATTATGCTGTCTAACAACACCAAAATTTTCTGTGTAGCCTATAACTGAGTATTTAGTGCCTCGCTACAACCTAGGAAATGAAATCCAATGCTTGCTCAGTTATGAAGGAGACTGTTTCTGGATGACAATGGGAAAAAGTGCAGATAAAATCATGGATTGTGACTCAGATGATGGGGCATTATACATATTTGGTGATTTGGAGAACCTCTTGAACTACTATCAGATTCCAATTGGTAGCCGACTCGAACTCCATCAACACAGACACCGTCGGAGAATGCATACATGTTGAAATAATATGCTTATGTCCTGCCCTAGTAGACATTAACTCAGACTCAAAATGAAAGTCAAACAATGTTATTTGGAGTATTGTATCTTAATTTTCCTAGGTTTATGGATTTATGGAAACATCGTTGTGCTAAGAAATGAATTCTGACTGTCATTGATCAACGTTCGATCAAATTTTTGACCATACCTTTTCCCATAGTCCATCACTTCATAGATATGCAAAATAGTTTGCATGTTTACACTAAAAAAGGTTTTCTTAACCACAGCTTAATCGGGTTAAATTACAAAGGCAAAAACAAAAGAACAGTTAGAGTACAGATGATCACTGACTTCAATAATCCAAAGGCATTTCAGTTCCAGCCAATCAATTAAAAGTCATATCTATAATTGCAAGTCACTCTATCATTTAGATTTTACTTATTTAAACTCATTCCAATAATTTAATTTTTTTACGAAATTTATAATCAATGACTACGTAAATATTCTGGGAATTAAATTAACTAGATATATCCAGCTAAAATATACAACAAAACCGAACAAAATCGAAAAAAGTTATTCATAAAAACAAGACCTGCTCAAAGCAAAGATGACACAAAATGGTACACATAGTTCAGTACTCTAGTGAGATCCAGAATACAACTACACCAATATTTCATGTCTAATTGCAGGTACATCCATACACCAAAATAAGACAAAATAAGATGGCGAGAACACTATAGTTATAAGAAGCAAAAGTTGGCAACATCATGGGTTTCAATCTGATCATCTTAATCACATTTTTCCAACTTCACTTGAACTTTCATTTTTGTAGAAGAGGATTGTACACTTGTATCACCATCAGCAAAGTACAAGGTCCTCTTCATAGGGCTCGTGGCTGTAGACATTAAGTTCATCGAAGGATCTGCATCCCCAGTCAATTCAGCAGAGTTAACTGAGTCCTGCAAACAATGGCATCGACAGAGTGTTAAATAAGAAAACAAAATCAGATCACATACAGAACAAATCACATCCATGAAACACAACCTTGCCAGATACACATTTCCGCGTTACACTTGCAACCTCAATGAAATTCTCAGCATCAGTATCAATACCCTTATGAGTCACAAATAATAATTTTGGATCATATCTAAACAATCTTTCTACATTTGCATATCTAGATAAACAAAGTTGATCATGACAAATTCCCACACCTGATTAACAACTGTAAAACTAACAAAAGCACTCACAATCTCCATATCATCACTCATTCTAAATACAGTATAAACAAGCCAATTGTTACTAATATTGTATCCAGTCACTTCAATCTTGAACAAAAATCTCTTGCCAACCAATCGTTCCTGCTCTTTCGGCACACCAACAGTTTCAACATCAGTCTGGATTACCATGAACAATAGAGAGATCAATTACGTTTGCCATTAGTTCTACTTCAAGAGTAAACTAACAACAACTTATGAAGTAAGCTATTACATAGATAAAAAACATGCTTCACATTAACATCACCATGCAAACACAGTACTAATTACCTTGCACATGTTTGCCTGGAGTGAGAGCGCACTTGCACCAACACTAATTACCTTGCAAACACAGTACTAATTACCTTGCACATGTTTGCCTGGAGTGAGACCGCACTTACACCAACAATTCTGACCACATCCTTGTCAAACAAAAGAAAGGATATACTTCCAGTGTCATCAATTACCCTACCCGTGTCCTATATCTACAAACAATAAATAACCAAAAGTGGGATTAAAACTTACAAAGTACTGAATACATCACAACATAAGTAAAATAGGGAACTTAAATGAGCCAGGAAACAAACGTGTTGACATAGAAGTAACCTTGGTACAATGTCGGATACTGTAGTGTTACATTTTGTACAATAGTAATACGGTTGCTTTCTGGATTCACTGTCTTCCACGACATCCGATCCAACAACAGGATGCAATGTAAAACCAACCATACTCCGGCGGAACAGAAACAATCGATGCCAGAACCACCACCGTGCATGCCTTACACGAATGAAGATAGATTAGCAACACTACACATTAATATGATTAACTGACACAAAACATCGTATGCACATACGCACTTTTCCAATATCTACTAGTTCATCTATTCCTTTCTTGGGATACATGTTAGGAAGTCATCAGGGGCAGAAAGAGTAGAATGTGCAGGTAATTGTACCACCCTCTGTGGATTTTCTTCTTCACCTTTTACATTTCTTAACCTACAACATAGTGCTTAATATAAACAATGAATACACTGAATTGCGTAACACTTTCCTAAATAAAACTTTAATATCTTAATTTAAACTCGTTGATATCATAAACATCAGAATTGATGAAGAGCCTGGTTGAAAATAGGGAATTCGTCACAGTATTCGACCCTACAGGTTAAATTCAATAATCGATATTAGACAAATATTTGTAAACAATATCGGTTCAAATCATGTGTTTTATATGATAACTTAGCGAGAGGTCATACCTTTCCATGGACGGATCCTGGCGAAGTGGATGATCAATACTACAGTCCCAAACATGTGATTTACAAAGAATCTGACACTTGTTGAGCATATTTGTCCCACAATGTGACATTTACTTTAACTCCCCTAAATATTAACAGTCAAATAGTTATATAAAAAGTGAATAACAATAATGACTACAAATGCAACGGAAACAAAACGTAATTATAATACAATGAGGATTCTTATTTGCAGTCCTCAAGTTGCAACGAAATTCTACGGGACTGTTTGCCCAACCTTTCTCCAACGCTCATCTCACCAACAACAATGATCTCACCAATAACATCTGAAACAATTTGAAATGCATAAATAAAAATTCCCTCTGTGAACAGAACACAAAAGAATATAAAAAAAAATTCCTCTCAGCATTACCTACGGTACAGGAAACATCGAGACCCCTGGACAGAACATCGCTCAGGCACTAACAACTCATTACACTGCTTGATCTCCGTCCTCCTAAAAAAGTTTATCCTATATGGATGGCTAGTTGTCTTAAAATTGCCCAAGTTCTCAACTACTCCAATATGCGAGATGACTTTGAAGGAACCTACAGTTAAAGCATTTTGGAACAAAGGGATCAATGACCTCTTCATAGTAGCATGCATTTTCTTTCCCTGAATCATATATACCACAGAAGTTTAGAAAATAAAAAATACTAACACGATATTTTAAATAAAACAAATGTGAAAAAGTAAAAAGATAAAACCGAAATGCATCGATACATACATCCTCATCCATTAATACCATCTCCAGGCTACCATCTTCGGTTGGATTTGAATAAAAGGTTGCTTCCAAACACGTATAAACCTCACCATAACCTTACAATTTTCTAGAACCGGACTGACGGGCTCAATTTTACAGTTCTCTTCATCCATGACCAAGAATTTCT